AACACTCTAGATGCAATACGCATGATGAACTGCTAATGATATCACATAAGAAATAAAATGTATTATAAATGAAGGAATACTGTGGTTATCAATACTGTATTTGAGGGAGAATTCTGTGAAGCTCTTTGCTTCAGCTCTGTAGAGTTTATTGACACATGCAGTCGGTCCTTGAACCCTGTTTATGGGCAAAGTTCATGTTAAAACTGAATGTGTGTGTGTGTGTGTGTGTGTGTGTGTGTGTTTTCCAAGAAGAAACACAATGTTTTGTTCAGGAATTTACTGCAGCAGCATATAGCCATGTACGCCTCCCTTGGATTTAGGCGCAGTTGTAGGCCAAGGATGGATTTACTCACCCTCTGCCGAATTCACTGCAGGGCGAGGTGATTGATTAGTTGGTTAAGGGTCCAAGAAATTCCCCAGACCGTGAGTGTTAATATACTGTAAGGCTCTGTAGTGGGAAAAGTAAGATTTTCCCATCAATTCTGGAAACGCTGACAGTGTTCCATGCATTTTCAGTAGCCTAATCCTTTCTGAGCACATCCATCTGACCTCATGGTACAACACAGACCGCATTCTCACGTAATGGATTCTCTGCTTAAAACATAAACTCAGATTCAGACAGGTATAAAGGAAGGCACTGATTAGTTCAACTTGACATTTCAGTGGTGATCGCACCAAATTCAAACCTCATTTGCAATAAAGAACTACTCATGCTGCAAAGCCCCTTGATAAAGGCATTAGTTCTGCTCTGTATAAAAAATGAAATGGCTTTGCCAAGGGTAAAAATGCACAACAGTTTTGTGAAATGACAACTGAGGGCACACCAGACATTTGAGAGAGCAGGACAAAGTTCACTCAGCCAATAACCTATTTATGAAATTGGAGGGAAGTTTGGTCTCTCTGGAACAAGAAGAAATTTCTTTTTAGATAGAACAGTTTAATGGAGTCACTGAATGCAAACATTATCAGTCCCTTTAGGAACATTACATAAACGTTGCAGTTAGAGGATGCACAAACAAAAAAACAATTCTGTTCACTCAATAAATGTTTCATTATTCAAGAAGTAGTTTGACATTTCGGGAAATACAATTACTTGCTTTTGTGCTGAGAGTTAGATGAGAGGATTGATAACTACTGTTCTCTATGCACGTAGGCTACTGTAAATATGAAGCTACAGCCGGCTAACTTAGCTTAGCACAAAGTGAAACATGGAGAGATAGCTCCACCTATAAGCCACCAGCAGCTCTAAAACCCAGTTGGGACCAAAGATTCGCGGCGAGTCGAAACCGTTTTAGAACGTTGCAGAGAAAAGTTGCAAGGGTGTGAACTGGCCGTTTGAGCTCAACTTACGCCATATTTACACAAAAACGATCCACTGAAAACAGAAAATGGCAACCGCACGAACATTTGTCTGGACGGACGGCGAGGTGGAGTTGCTACAGTAAATCTACACTTTGCTGGAGAAGCGTTGATACATTCAATAGGGTGAGCAGCACAAACAGAGCTCGGGAGTCTGCCATTGTTGTTGTGATGGTCGACTTTCTCGCGCATGCCTAGTGACTGGAACCGCAATGCGAAAAGTCTCCGTTTTCAGGGGGACTGCATATTGCAAGTTTACATGACAACGGAGACGGTGCCGTTTCCAAAAAATTGCACTCTGGAACCCGTTTTCAAAACGTTGCGTTTTCAGGTACCCAAAACGCCGCTGTCGTGTCATTTTCAGTTGAAGTTGTTGTCGTATAAATGGGACCTTAAGCTGGCTGTTGGTGTCAGGTGCAACTTGTCTGGCCAAACTGTCGGCGGCTGGTTTTAGAAAATGACCGCAGACGGCATGTTGGTTTGCTGTTGCAGGTGCTCCGTCTGTAGGCAGATTTTGTTACCTTTCAGCTGTTTCCCTGTGTTTAGTCTTTATGCTAAGGTAAGTTAGCTGGCTGCTGGTAGCTTATTTATCATTCAGACATTAGTGCTGATCTCATTTAATGCTCAGCAAGAATAAATGATAATAAAAGTACATTTTATTTTTTTACTGTTACCTTTAATAGCACTTAAGGTGCTCTTAAAACATACAATAAGTAACAAAGCACCAGTATTAAAACATTAATGACAATAAACACACAAAGAACAACATAGCATAGCTCAGCAATGATTTAAAATCAGTATAAATAAGCTACAATTGATGCTGTTAAAATGAGTAAGCTAGTTTAAAAAGATGCTGTTTTCTCAGTAGCAGTTCAGCAGCAATTCCATAATGGAGTTCAGTACAAGGAAAGGACATGACGTCAGTGGCAGTGTTCGAATTTGGAGCCAGACTTTGGTGCCAGTTCTATTCAAGTTAATGGAGTGAGCACGGCAAGACACAATATAACCCATCATATCTTTGTTGTTTCACCTCTGACTGAAAAATCCTTTCACGAAATTAAAAACACACATTACCTGATGCTGACTGATGTTTCTTATCTTAATGTGTGCGATCATTTTTCTTATTATTGGTCTCCAAACAGATCATGGCTCTGTCTCAAGGTCTGCAATGTTGGTGAGTGGTCACAAAGGTTGTAGCTTAATGGTTGTGCTTGACAATGAAAGAGCCTGACATAGGATAACTTACATAAATGTAAAACAGACAAAGCATGTCTCATGAGTCAGAATAATGATCAGAGCCATAAATAAACTGATCTGGATATAATTGCTGATCTGTTTGGAGGCCAATTACAAAGAAAGCAAATGTGCATATTAAATCAAAAAAACATCAGTCAACATCATATAATGTTTGTTTTTTTTATTTTGTGAAAATATTTTTCAGTCAGTGATAAAATAACAAAGATATGATGGGTTATAGTGTTGTTTGCCGTGCCCGCCCCATTAACATCAATGGAGGTGGCACCAGTGCAAAATTTGAATGTCGTCACTGATGCCATGACCTTTTATTCTTTTTCAGTTTCCTTGTTCAGTATGCACAGTGGTGTAGTGGTACTAAACCTGTTCTCATTTCAAGGTTGTCAAATACTGCCACTTTGTCAGTAAGTTTGGCGTCGGACACCGACACCAAAAGCTGCCTTTCTGCCAGGTGGCGTCAGTCTGAAATTCTGCCAGTAGCAACGTAATATAAGGGCCGGTGTATGGGTCCAACCAACCCTGGACTTTCACCCGGGAGCCCAGTGTTTACTTCCAATGTGGAGCCAAACCATGAGTTTTTTTTTCTAAACCCAACCAGGTGTCCTTTTGTTGCCTAACCATGTACTTTTGCTGACATTCCTGCCTTGGCTGCTGCATCCTAGAACATCAGCAGCAGATGCAGGAGGATACCTAACATGTAAAATATAGATGTGAAAGTCCACTGAAAAATGGTGATATGTGACGACCTGGGATGAGAAGGTGTTGTGGTACTTGATGAGGTGGGTGTACTACTACAAAGATAAATAGGTTACAGAGAAGGTAGTGGCTATACTCTCCCATATCCTCCTGAAAACAGAACTTTTGTTTGGTATGCATTTTTAATTTCTTTTGGCTATTTGGCATCATTTGGATCTGATAAGTTTAAAAAACTAAACACTGTCAATGATAATGAAGTCCCAATGTTGTCAGACAAGATGATAATAAAGTCATTGGGCCCTATTTAGATGGTCTAAAACGCAAAGCTCCAGGCGTGTGGCGCACGGGCGTGTCCCAGTCACTTGCTAGTTCGACAGCGCGTTTTCAGACTGTGCGCCATGGCGGAGAGTCTAAAATGTATCTCTGTATCAACTGTCCCATCACATCTGATGTCAGATCAAAGGGGATTGGCACCGTTTGGCGCATTTGGCACGTTTGGCACGCGTAATGGAAACCCAACCTGATTTGATTAACACAGTTGCAAAGTAATAAGTTCACATCCCTCTCAGCCAACCACAAACAGCCACAGCATCAGATAGGGAGTATATATTCAGCATCTGCCATCTTAGAAAAGTCAAAAGAAAAGAAACAGAGTGAGACTGCGAGAGAGAAAGAGAGAGCGTGCACGCATGGGAGAAACGCTGTCAACAAATTGTAAATTATTCAATTTATTTTATTTTAACCCGGGAGGTTAGAGAGCCCAGCTCCCTCTCCAGCATCACCATGCACCACTTTTTCTTTCATCGGCTTTCACCTGGAAGCAGTGCAGCAACTCCCAGAAAAACAAACAAACAAACATCATGGCAACCAAGAAGCAGAAGACGCAATTATGGACAGACCAGGAAACTACATTCATGCTCCGACAGCTAAAGGAGCTAAACATTTTGAAGTTTATGGATGGTAGGAAAACACAAAACGCGGATTCATTTTAAAAAGTTTCTGAACAAGAACCGGAACTAGTTCAATAAGCACTATATTAAAAAGGACACAGCGCCGCCTATCGAGGCGGAGTCAGATGTACTTGGTCAGAAATTCAATTTTCTCTTCTGTATACTCAAAACAAGAGGAGAAGTCTGACTTGACTGATTAGCCGAGCTATGAGCTAAACTCGACTACTGCATGCATGTAAACATACTGAGTGTCTTAGCTTGTTGTGATGTCTTCATATGAGGACACAGGGTCTTGGGAGGATATATCCAATGGCTTTCAGGGGTAGAAAGAAATGTGGCTATACCCCGTAAACCCGTGTAGACCCACCATTACACCACCAGGTGTGCGCATGTAGGAGGGAAGTGAGTTCCTAAGTTTGGATGCAGCTTAGGAGAATTGTGCTGAGTTTGATGGCCGGATGTGCCTAAAATGTTACTTTAATGAGTGCTGTGCGTCACATTGACTGAGTTCCCTTCATGCACATTGTGCATATTGACAATAAATATCAAAAACAGAAGTCCAATAAATCTTGTTCCTTTTTCAATAAACCATGATGGTAAGACAATCTGTGAACTAAAACACACACACACACACATACACGAACACACACTACATCCCTGGGTTTAGTAGCTACCCCCCTCCCGGTTACGTCACAGGGTACAAGGAGCGCAAGTTGCAGCGGTGCGGCTCGCGCTCACTCAGCCACTTGCCAACTGCGACCACAAAGCTCAACCGATCACTTTATAAACCTCTTATTGAAACGTTATCCCAGAAATAGTTAACTTCTCTGCAGCCGCTGACAGGACTCAGGACTTCCCTCCGAAGGTGAACGCAGGCGGTAATTTATTTTTAAAGTTGGATTACAGCGGAGTCTCTTGAAGAACTGAGAGGAAATATTGTCTGCCAGATGCTGCTCAGAAGATGAGCAGCAGCGAAGTACAGATTTGGGAAATCAGCGGAATCCCGTGCTGTCAACGGTAATTACTTGTCTATTTATTTCCTCCAGTTTGATGATATTTCCACGTGTGCTGCAAGTGAACTGAAATATCACTTACTTTAAAACAAATCACGGGCTTTTATAAGAAGAAAACTGCGACTTTATAGGGAGATTGTAAATGGGTATTTATACGACTTACACACTTCGTGGTCATGGTTTAATTTCCTGGAATTTAATGTCCAGTGACTGCTGGTGGTGTCACTTATCGCTCCCATTCAAATGCCGTATTATCTGGACCATCCACTATCTGGGATCTGCACTTGGTCAGTCAAACCTACAAGTAGGCTATGTTTTACTTAGTGGATGTGAAGGTAATGTGACCCTATTTACGAGCACAGTCATGCAGTTATCCATAAAAATAAGGAGTTTTCTGGCTCTGAATGGGCTTCAAACACCAGTTAAACACAACTGCACTTCTAAATTATTTCAATTATAACATCATTTATTGCTGCAAAACAGAATTTTTTATATTAAGTACAAGTGCAGACATATAGATGCACGTGAAACCTACATAGTAGCCTACTGAAACTGCTTAATTAATAGCTGTAAAGGAGTCAGGCTGCTTAGGGATGAATAAAACAGCACATGCAATGTGATTAAATACAATGCAAATTTTTAATGAGAGGTGAGATTTTGCTTTAAAGGCATGGCGTGCTGTTGTAAGTTGTGGTGTTGCTGCAGTGTGTTCTGTGGTAATATGTTTCTGTTGTTGTGTCCACCCTGTGTACTGTGTGATGCAACCAGTTCATAATGAGGGCTGTAGTTAAGAGACAACACCAGATCTGTCAAACTGAAACCAAGTGTAAGGTCAGCGTGAATTTGCACGAAGGACCAAAAATAATGGGGCACCCTAAGTTTAGGACTGTGAGACATGACCAAACAAAGTTTTTTTTTTTTTTTTTTTACAAAACTAAATAAGTTATCTTGCCCTCTTTGTGCAAATAATTGCAGAATTGTAAAATATATTGAGGGCAGGATGTGCACAAGCTCAGGGCTACACATAATGTATTTATTTTTTATTTATGTGAATGAAAATAGTCAATATTTGTGTGTTTCTCTCATATATTATTTTATTTATACATTTATTTTACAATAGACTCTCTGACTCTGAGGCAAATGAAGTGTGGGCATCCTGTGCTGTACATTCGAAAAATGTGTTTCATTATGTACCAGGCAGGATAAACACATTAGTGTGTCTCTGTTTACACTTTAACACTGAATACATACACATTTAATTGTTCGGGGTGCTAATTGTCCAGGAGTGATTTTGATCCTAATGAGACCCACTTGGGCAGCATCACGCGAGTGACAGAACAACATGTCTCAGTGCCTTCTGCATGTACTGTTAGGTAAACACCTCTTACACATAACTAAACAAACACATTCATTCATATCCCCCGACACATCTGCTGGAGTAATAAGAGAGATGCGTACAGGTGCACTCCATGAATGAGTGCTGCCTCGCTGTATGTTGTCTGTAGAGGTAATTTGCAAACATTAACAGGTGGTACAGGTGCGTCAGTGCATACAAGATAAACACAAGTGCAGTTTTGTGATGCATTAAGTAATCTTCTGCTCTCTGAGTGCTACTACAATCAGCAGGGCGAACTTTTCTCAGCTGCGAGTGCCATTATGTGTGTGCGTGAAAATGCTGAATGATCAGTTTGGTGTGAGGGATTGCATTTGTTCAGAGGTTACATAAACATTTTAATCTCATATGCATACAACACAGCTAAATGACTGTGAGACTGCGACTGTGATCAGGCGTCAAGGGGCTGAAACTGAAAGCAGCGAGTGCTGGCTGATATTTTTGCACCCTTTAGAGTGCTGTACGTCAGTGCTATAGTGTTCAGCTCCATCCTCCTGAGGTCTTTTTCACTAATTTCATATGGGAAGCGATGTATTCAAATGACTGCACTCTCCTTCCTCTCTTTGTCTGTGGAATTTTGTGCCTTGAGCAAAGCAGCATCAGGACCACATAGTGTCATCTCAGCTGTAATTGTCATTGAGGCGTGAGTGTGCTTGTGTGGTAGGAAACCTATATGGACATTTCTGGCTGCAAAAATATACCAAAAGCTTTTTTTTCACTTGTCACCTCTGATGTCATTTCAAGTTGTTTGAAACGAATGCTGTGTTGTGGATGTGTGCTTTGATAGAGTGAGGCTTTGTGTTCCTATAGCAAGCTCTACGGTTATTTCAGCAGAAAGCCACAGAGATAAGTTGAAACAGGTGGTTACAGTTTATTTACATGCATTTTGATTAACTCTAGTTTTCAAAAGTCAAAACACTGCAGGGCAGAAGCTTTTCTAAAATCTTGCTTTTATCCAAATGATGTTTAGAAAGCAGGTAAGGCTGTCATCAGATGACAAGTGCAGATGAACCTGTCACAGTCGTATACATGTTGTGCCCAAAGGGGACAAACTGCAGATAACCACAAAATCAGAAGCTGTGCAGATTAAGGTGGACTGTAATGGAAACTGCCACATAACAAAAACTTGGAAACTATTTTTTTAATCAGGTACTTTTCAATTCCACACTGGAGGAAATGTGATGTGAAGTGAGAGCACATGTAAGGCAACCTAGACGTGTTTATTTTTAAGTTTAATAGACATAAAAAACTTGTCCAACATTTGATCTGATCACCCAAGTTGTACCTGATTACGGGGCAAGGAACTATTTATTAAACTTTAACTGTCTTGAGTCTTACATTTGGCCTTCATGACAATTTTTTTAAATTTTTTAAAGATTTTGTCTAGAAATACATGGTAAGATCTTTAAAAAAATCACAGTAAAATAATTTTAAAAAAGGCATTTATATAAACATTGTGAAACAAAAATTGGATGTGTTGGAGTCAGGGGACATAGTCGTACCCAGCAGGTATATTTTAACCTGTTTTAAGAAGACAAACTTTTTAATTGAATAAGAGACTGTATGAAAATTATTGCAGTTGTAAAAAAAAGCAAATCCCCAACCAGGCATATTATTTTTTCTATGACTCCTCTCTTGACTAAGGGAAAAAATTGCTAAACAACTTCTGAAAATAATAAAACAGGGTTAAATTGGTGCAACTTGTTAAATCATGGGGGAGAGCGGGGTCAGTTGGGACAGGTAAGGACAGTGTCTTTTTAGTGAGAAAGCAGCTATATGACTATGCCTTTCACCCTGCTCATACTCAACCACAACCTCTTCAGTTTCTACCTCAAAGTGGAAGCCTTCTGTCTATTTCTCACAATTTATTTACAGTTTTGAATTCGACAGTGTGTAAATTTAGGCTTTTTTGTTGTTGTTCTTCTACCATACTGGTTTCAGTTATGCCACATACAAAACAAATATTGCTGGAAGGCTGATTTTCTGATGCATCAGTTTGTGCTGGTGTTAGCTGTCTGAATTTTTGTTTGTAGCAAGCACAGGAGTCCAAAGTTTGTCTGCTCATGTTGGAACAGTTTTGTTTATGGTTCTTACCTTATTACAAATCAAAGACAAAGGCGTTTCCAAATTGAATAATACCCACTATATAATGTTACTGAGTCAATGTTTAATCCATGAAGAAATTTAGAGTGCAAAGCTGAATTAATAGGGCATGTAAAAAATGCATGAACTTCAAATAGACCTGTATTTAAACCCCTGAGCAATGAATGTGCGGAGTTCAACCCCTTGTTGCTATTGACTTTTTTGTGTTGCAATAGCCTACATAAACCTTTGGGCTACATGTAGCATATGGTAACCACATTGAGCTGATGCCAGTAAAAAGTTGGAAGAAAGCCAAATTCCATATCTCAGTAATTTATGAAGAGATAATGATTTTACACATTTTCTTTTTCTCAAGGAAATGTGTGAATAGGCAATTTTATAAATATAAGGTGTTCAAATTTACACTGCATATTTAGAACAAGGTGTCCCAGCAGACTCACCCACTGTTCCAATTGTCCTGGGGAAAATGTACTCCTTGTACATTTAACAAAATAGTGCTTTTAACGTTTTAATGTGTTACATTTTTAGTAGATAGACTACCTATATCTGTACAGGGATCAAACTATTTTCACTAATGTTTAATGCCTGATTCACGCTACACAATATCAGCCCGATTATAGCCCGACGCAGCAACGTATGGTGTCGGCATGGATCGTGAATGACAATGATAATTTCATCTCGTGTAGTGTGTAATAGTAGACAACAACAGACACCACGTCTGGGACGCCTCACAACATTCCAACAGAAAGTCTGGCATGTTTCATTTTCTTTTTGTTGTTAATGACTGCTCCCATCACAGCCGTCACTTTGACCAATAGAAACACAGAGCGATCTGCTGCCGTAGACAACTGTATGACAACAACACCCCAGCGTTTTTAATATTTCCTCTAGGGATGTTACCACACAGAGTAAAAAGGGAAAAATGATGGGGTTAAACAGCAGAAGCACTTTATCAATCCAGTGAGTACTGTCATTAGCATCAAGCTAGCAAAGAATATTATTCCTTTATAACGGAGACGGACATAAAGTAATACAATTTTAAAATAGTGGCTTTTGCTCACCACAACTGCAGAGGCTCCCAGCTTCATTTGAAACAGACTACATTATAGACGGTCCTTTATTTATTAATCCCTCTGCATCTTTCTATTTTTACTTTTTATCTGCTCCCGTTTGCCTTGATAAAGTTAATGCATCGCGCCGTCATTTCAAACTCAACACTTCCTGTACTGTTTCAAATTAAAAGCCCATTATAACTTCAGTTGAGAGAATCCCTTCATTTTTTTAAAGGCTTTTATTGTGAAACATTTGCAGGAACTTGTTGTGGAGGATTCAGTGACTTGCATGTTTGCGTATGGTACTTCAAATGGAGCTCCTGCCATCTGGTGGTGCTTTTTATGTTACTACAACAACATTTCGGCTGGCACATGAACAGACACAGTGACTGAAATAATAGTAATAATAACAAAAAATAGGACAAAAATAACCTGATGACATCACGACCGGGAATA